GATGTTTCAGATAATCAGAGCTGCTGCTGAAGAAGAAAACAATGAAATCCAACAGCTGCCCATTGAAATACAACAATCAGAGCTCTAACAGACTCAACTGAGCAGGTTCAGGTTTCCTGTCATGCTGTAGAGACTCTTATTTTGAAGAGGTCAGTGTCTGCGCTGATTGGATCCGTCCATCCTCAGGCATTGGGACATTGTGAAGTGTTGAGATAGAGGTGAGAATAAAACAAACAAACAAAAGTAGTTGTCAGTCTTTGTCTCCGCAAGCTGGGGGGTTAGGACAGTGGTTCCCAACCTTTTTCCTTTTCTATAATTTTTTGAACTGATCACTCCTTAGGTTACATACTTGATGGACATTTCATATTATATTAAAAACTGTACAATGGACACAAACAATGATTTCAGTAACTGCAAGAAGTTTGTTTAAAACGAGTGATTTGGATGAATTTGGAGCAGATTTAGGGAACTTTTTATGCAAGTCGGTATTATGTTTTTTTATAATCACAAATAATATAACATAATAATAATATACTTGTGAGCCAAATATTGTTATAGAGGTCTACTGTGTATATCTTAAGTTAAGTATATTTTAAGTTTTCTTACACCCCTAAAATAAAGAAGGCCTTGCGATGCCCCCATGAAGCTTTGGCTCCGAGGTTGGGATCTACTGGGTTAGGGCATCGACTGTTGTGCAGTTTAAGTATGTTTTATGTTTTAAACACAATTTCAGTCATGCTCAGTGTTGATTCACTTGCTGACGTTCCTCCTCCAGATGAATTTATTTAAATCCAATTACACCCTCTGCAGACTTTTTGCTCCGTTAATTTTTGTTTGTTTAGTTTTTTTTTCTTCTCAGCTGCCGATTTCCTCTTTCTTTCAGTCGCAGTGTGTTCATAATTTCCATGAATATATGCTCGACTTAATGGAGCATTGAGAATTCATTTGGACTCTGAAGGCTCCTTAGGTAAGCTTTCTACACCTCAGGCACGGCAGTGTCTCTGCTGCATAATAGGCTTGTTTCCAGGATCTAAATGAGGTTCATAGCAGGCAGAGAAAAGAAAAAAGAAACTCAGTAAACAGAGAGCGTGAGGGAAATTCAGTCTGCAGTGTGTGCTCATTAAAGCTTTTCACACTGAGATGATCAATGAAGAAGAGACGACAACAGACACCACCTCCTAAAACTGGTTCTTTATATTCTTTTAATGTGTTCCCTTGATTTCCCATTTGGGGTTTTAACTACTGTATATCCCAGTACATTTGCGTGATATACAGTAGTAGTAGGGGCAGCCAGTCAGAAGGTTGGCGGTTCGATCCCCGGCTCCTCCTTCTGCATGTCGAAGTGTTTTTGGGCAAGATACTGAATCCCGATTGTTCCCAATGCACAGTATGAATGTGAATGAATGGATTAGGTTCTGTTTGTGATAAACGTTTGGCGTCACTGTGTTAATGTGTGAGAATGGGGGAATGTGGCATGTAGTGTAAAAGTGCTTTGAGTGGTCGGAAGACTAGAAAGACGCTATACAAGTACAGTCTATTTGCCATATGTTAACATGCCAGTATGTGTAATATTACAGATGTTTGATGAACCATTAATCTGGTTTAATAAAGACAGAAAAGGTTGATATTTCACCTGTTTAACCTGGTAATGTAATGTGAATTGACTGGCCTTCACATTAAGAGTCTCTGCAGCATGAGAGGAAACCTGAACCTGCTCAGCTCATGCCGATGATTTTCTTCCTTTTGCAGCAGTTCTGATTATCTGAAACATCTGTGTGCGAGGAGGAGAGTCAGAAGCAGCTGCCAAACAAAAACTGCTGAGTTTTAAGCTTAAGGGAACTTAAGAAAGCAAAATTCCTGTGCCAAGTTCTTGTAATCTTTTGTAGAGGAGCGATAGAAAACATCCTGGAATGTGCACGGCCCAGGAAAGGAGAACTCTGCAGTGAACTGAAGATCACAAGCACCACAACAGAAGATTGTGGTGCTTTGAAGTCGTCGTATTGTACCACAACATCAATTCTAATGTGTATTCAATATATTTGATCATTTATTAATGTTTGTTTATTAACTGGCCCCTGGCCTCGTGTAATTCTTTAAAGTGGCCCCTGGCCAAAATAAGCGGCCTTACACACTCAACTGTGGCATCTAATTCCATATGTTACATTTATATATCATATTGAGTGAGAAGAAAGAAAAAAAAACATTGGTGAAGTGGCCCTTTAATTTTGATAATTTCTTATTATTGGGAAAAGAACTAAAGGTTCAAACTGGAATGTATAGAGAAAAAAATTATTTGGTTGATGTTTTCTTACATCAAAAGTCGGTCTGACTCATCATGTGTGTTTCATTTAGTGTTCATACTCCAAACTGTCCCTTTACTTTTATACATTTTCAGAAACCTCTGATAACAAGCTGCACACAAACCAGCCCAGACACCCAAAAGCCATCACACAGGATCATTACAGCTGCTGAGGAGGGCAGCAGAGACTGTTTGAGTTTATTTCTGTCCTCTTTAAGCTAAAAGCCTGATGGATCTTCCACATGGATCGACGAGTCGTTTTTCTGTTAATGCAGGTCGAAGCGCAAATAAGGCTCCAATACTAAACTGGACTCTTCTGTGCTTCAGGACAAACACAAAGTTTTATGTTGTACAGATGCACCTGTGCTGTAGATTACTGCGGAGGATTATAAACACACCTCTCAGCACTGAAGGCTTTGTTAAAAGGCTGCAAGTAAATATAGATCTGTTTTATCCATCGCTGTGGCCTCTGTAGAAGCATCCAAAATGAGAAAGATTAAATCAACATTCATCCCAAACTGCAATACAGGTAACCAGGTTTGCTTTGAGAAGTGGGGAAACAAAACAAATGTTATAATGAATTGTTTATCGGGCTTTCCAAATGAATATTGGCAGAAAAAAAAAAAATCTAAATAGAAACAAACGTGAAATGTAATTTGCAGTATTATTAGCATACTGATGCCACTTTGCTGTTTTCCTTAATAGAAACTTGATCATTTGTGATAAATGCTGAATTTGCTTCTAAGAGCACTGTCCTTTACAAGCTCATCTTTGACTCATGTTCAATATCGTCTTTTTAGGAGAATACTGACTATAAATAATAACATTATTTATTTTTTCATATAGAAACTGTAAAAAGGGAAGAGTGATTCAATGAAAGAGCAATGAACTGATTGTTTACTTTTCCCAATCCAATAACAAGATTCTTTGAATATGAAAAGGTTTGTCTGTGACTGTACCATCCAACCACACCAGAGACTAGGCGGGCAGAAAAGTCTTTTTAGGTCCTTTGTGTCGGGTTCAGGCTCCTCAATATGTTTGTCTGTTATGATGGTCACTGTGCCACATTCAGCAGACATGACAGACTACGAGTTGGTCCCCGACAAGACCCCAACAAATGTCGCATCATCGTGATTTTTTTATTACCATATTGGGCAGCCATTGGCTGCACTTCACTCAGAAGTTATCAAAGAATCCAAACTTGTGGATCTGATGCCACCAAACAAAAATTATGGAGTTTAAATTAAACTTCAACATACTATGTGTAATTTCTGCCACTAGGGGGTCCCTCACATTAAAACAACAACAAAAGACAATGTTTGAGTAGCGTAGGATCATGGGAGTCTTTACCAGTATTGCAGTCAGCTTCTCCCATTTGGCATTCCTTCAGTGTTCATTGTTCAGGAGGTTTTTACCCGGAGCCAAAGTAGGTCTCCTCCTCTCCAAAACAAACGGTTTAAAACCGGTAAAACACCCAATGAAGCAGTTTTATCATAAAATTGAGCGATTCTGCGTGTCAGGAGTAAAGGGCGATTACCATTTGACAACAGTCCTGCTGGCTTGAGGTTTTTAGTTTACCTTCCTACAGTGAGCTAACACTGCAACACCACAGTTAGCTAGCTAACTCTGGTGGATCTGAAGCTTTGCACAATACACACTCACAAATGTTCAAGTTGATTTATAAAAAACCGAAGTAAATAATATATTTATTTTAATTAAAAAAAGATGCATTTGGAGGAGATGTAGCTTTGTGTGAGATTATTTTCCTCTTGTGAGTCTCTGTTGTTGCTTCAGTGTTGTGACACTGATCATATATAAGTATTACAATATACCATCATAAGCATCATGTCCTGTTGTCTCTGATTTTTTATTACTTAACTAATTGTGAATTCCTCAGTGAAAACAAGTATGTATGAGTCTACTAGTCTAGTATGATGATGCTTTACTTTAGGGGGGCAGAAAAAGAGCAAGTATATTAATAGTAGGTCTACTCAGTAGAAGAAAAAAAAATCTATATTGATAGTGATCATTCTTTGCAGTTTATTTCTAGTGCATATGTCTTATTCTCTGCAGTTCATTTGTCAATCAGATATAATGAATGTGGGTTTTAATAGGCGCAGACTCCCCGTGTGTGTGTGTGTGTGTGTGTGTGTGTGTGTGTGTGTGTGTGTGTGTGTGTGTGCAGCACGGGAGAGTCAGGTAGAGAGAGGTAAAGTCACAGTGTGTCCTCTCTCCATCATCTGTCTCTAATCTTTCTGGATTCTTCCAGAGTGAGCCAGCGGACCTGCGCTGGAGCTCAGCCCGCCTCTTGAGCGCCTCAGCCCGGCGAGAGAGACCGTTCCGGTCCGGCCCGACCCGCATTGGTGTGACTGCTCTTTATGCTGCTTTATCTGTTTTACCATCTCCCGCCTTTTATCACCATATCATCCGCTGCTGCACACACACACACACACACACACACACACACACACACACACACACACACACACACACACACACTGGAGTACAGGTGCTCAAAACACGCAAACATTTGAACCCTGTCAGACCCGAGAATAAACAATCAGAATTAGAGTAACTAATTTTAAAACTCTTTTCTGTGACCTGTTGAGGCATTTTGGACACTCGGTTTTGACCCCAGCCCCCCACTCCCACCACAACCCACACACCATCCCAAAGTCTGTGACAGGCTATAGAGTCGTACCTTCTCTCAGGATCTGGTTGTGGATGAGCAGGAGGAGCAGGAAGCAGACCGCAGCAGCAGTCAGAGCCCAGACCAGCCGGAGGAGCTGCATGAGGGAGAACCGGGAGCCGCACGGGGAGCCAAAAAGTCCAAACTGTGATTATCCGCAGGCTGGTGCCTCCTCACTGCGCATCTGCATCTCTGGGATATGAAACCACGCGTGAGCCTGAAGTGACAAATCCAGAGTGGAGGAGATTTCAATCAGCAGAGATGTTTTTGTTTTTCCTCCCCGGACTCCCCGGGTGAACCTGCCGGGGTCCTCGCCGCGCTCCCCGGCGCGTCACGGTGCGCAGCAGCGGCCGGCGGCAGCAGCAGATGCCCAGGGTGACCCACTCCACCACAGCATGTTCATCAAAACACAAAATCTGCTGCGAATATTAAGTTTTCCAGTTTTCTGCCTCCAACTTACAGCTCTCTGCGCTTGGGATCCATCAGGACTCTCCGGTCGTTCGTCCGCGTAAATCCCTCCAGAAGTGGAAATATCGACACCGGGCCCGGCTGGAGCTGCTCAGCGGGCATGATGCACGTTTCCCCGCCGCGTCTGTCGTCCCGCGGACCGGCTGGTTGGTGCTCGGCTGTTAGGAGTGGAGGAGGAGATGCAGCTGCTGCCTCCGGGTCTGAAGATCCACCACGACCTGCAGCCTCCACACCGACTCTCTCTCTCTCTCTCTCTCTCTCTCTCTCTTGCTCTCTCTCTCTCCCTCTCTCCCTAATCACGGACTGACGTCACAGTGGTTACAATAACGTATGTCAAATTCATCCACAGGCGACACCGGGGCTGATGTGGTACAGCAGGGGCGGAAAACGGAATCTGAGGGGCACTGAAAGGGGCAACCTGTGTGTGTGTGTGTGTGTGTGTGTGTGTGTGTGTGTGTGTGTGTGTGTGTGTGGCAGTATTTTGTTGAAAAATAGGTTCACTGGACTTCAGCATCACACCTAACTTGCTATTCAACAACAATAACTAATTAGTTATGATGTATTATTAAGTTTCCCAGTAGTATTTTAAAATCAGCTCCAGCTCCTAGCTACAACTTCAGTGACACTTGCATATTAATTTAATTTATTTAATATATTATAATTTTAAATATATTTTGATGCTTATACTCTACTTTACTCACAGTGAGTTATATGGCACTACTGATTTTTGTGTAAACATGTAGCTAGCCTTTACTTTAAGGTATAATATGTAATTTCTGTAACATCAAAACAATAAAAAAAAGATGTTGTGTGTGTGATCATGGGAGTTGGGAGTCTTCACCAGCATTGCCACCATTGCAGTCAGTTTCTCAGTTAGTTAGAATTCCTGCAGTGTTCATTGTTCAGGAGTTGTACTGGGAGCCCAATTATCCACAGAGGTCTCCTTCTCTCTGAAAACAAACAGACCGAGTGATTAAAACCGGTAAAAACACTGAATAAAGCAGTTTCACCTTTAAAATCAGCCAACGCTGTCTGGCAGATAAAGGATGTCCCGGTGGACCTGCCGCCTGCTGCAAATGTTAGCTCAGCTTGTTTCTCTCATAATTTAATTCCAGACGTCTGATGACTACAATCCTTCAGCCGGTTAAAATATATAGTACAACCAAGATCTAAACAGTGTATTGTAAAAATGTGGCTTAAAACTGGAAAAAATGTTAATTTATGACAGATATCCACCACGCTGACACATGTAAAAAGTGCATATGACGACGACGCTGTGAGGCAAAGAGGCTAATAGGAAGTTGACATTGGAAGCTAACAAGAACAGGAGAGAGTGACCAAGCAGGACTTCGCTTATCAAGAGTAAATCTGGGACTGGCTTTTAGTTTTTGGCGAGAGCTTCGTGAGATAAAAGGCTGCAGACAGACGACGAGCTGGCCTGCTTTGTCTGCATGATATTTGTCAATGGTTGCAAAGTTGTCAACTTGCTAGTTTTTGGACATAAGTAATGTAATCATAACAAATGTGTGTCTGCAGCTGTCGATATTCACAAGAGTATTGCACTCTGGGGCCGCCAAATCGCAACAAATACCAAAGAGACAGTGTTGCTTTAAGTAAAACCTCTGGGTACCCATTCAACCTCTGTGAGCACAGGTTTAAAAAAGATTCCCTTTAGTGACTTGAGGAGTTTTCAGAACATGCAACCTAGCTTTATGTCACTTTTATTGACTTCTACTAATCACTGCTGCTTCTTCCATCTGAACATGCCTAAAGCAGAAGTCAGATACAGATACGATCCGTTCTGTTTCTGGACGGAAACTGCTTCTCTTTACATTCTGCTCTAATTACTGTCTTGTACCATAAAGGAATAAATGATTCAGAGCTTCTATAGAAACTGAAGCTGGAGTCAGCACACAGTAATGATACAAAAATGTATTTTCCATTTTGTGAAAGGATTTTATAATTTATAATGTTTCTCAGAACGTTGAATTATATATTTTCCCTTGCAAGATTTTCTTTTTTATAAAAGTATCTTTATATTTCTATTTATTTGCTTTATATTTCTGGTTATAAGAAGCCTGGAGAATAATGACTTGATTAGTCTTTGCTATTTGAAATGTATTAATTAAATTTGCCTTTAATTATGTATTAAATGTGCCAAATGTAAGACTCTGAAGCATTTTACATATTTTTATATATTAATCACTTTGTATTGCCAGTTTGTGAACAGATTGTAAAGTAACTTAAAAAAATAGACCTTCCGGGGTTTCATCCTGAGGAGTGATTTCTGTGTCACAGAAAAAGTGATGTTATTTTATTACTTTTTATACTTTTTCTTTTCATGTATTTTTACAATGCATCCTTTAATTCACTGCACTTTATTTTTATTTAAATCTATCAATGTATTATTTTATTATAACTGAACACTGTGAAAGTGTCACTCAAAGCATATGCAATTTATATCTTGAGTATTGGATGTATTTATACATATCATTGTTTATTATTTGCCTCATAACTTGGAGGGTTGAAGTTTCAGTCTGATTTCGCAGCTCAGTCACACGATTCAACCAGTCGCTGCTTTTTATTACTGTTTCCTGCTGAACCGTGATGTGTTCAAGGTCAGACTCTATCTCCTCTCTCCATTACGGTTTGTTTACTTGCACTCTGACTTCTAAGCACTCTTCTGTCTCCTACACAAACAAAGGTCAGGCTTGAAAGTAACACCTCGCCTGTCAATCAACCTGAACGCGGAGGGGATGATAATAGGCTCGTTTGAGATAAGCCACGCCTGTGCAGAATATATAATCAGCGATCGCCACACAATGCATGCCGGTTAGATCTGTGTCCAACTTGATCTGACGTCGTGCACACGTGGGCAACCATAACCCCACGCGATCAAGGCGACCGCAGTTTTTAGAGCCAGTTGCTGCAAGTTGGAGTTCATCTGGAACGAGCCTACTGTCTCTGTCTGTGTTCTTGTGTACTTCTGTCTTCATGAGGACCTGTTTGACTTCTTCTAATCAGGACTTTTAGCAAAGTCAGGATTGTTACAAAATTAGGACATTTTGAGTAAAAATCCTAAATACAGGTGTGTTTAATCAAATAACCACAAATAAGGAGCCAGGCGGTATTTTCCCAGTGTCGGAGTGATGGTTAGTTTCTTTGTGCCATGCATATTTTGCTGTTTGCTGTGTGAAATGTACTTGATGGGAACTTGGAGGTGACATGTGCAATGTACACAATGTACAGATTTATTGTGGAAAATTAAAAATTCAAACAGCACTTCAGTTGAAAGACAAACAGGTTCACATAGTAGCTTAATGATACATTCCAATACATAATGATATAATGATATAAATATAAAATGTAGTTACAGTGTATACGCAAATGTAATATACATCAAATATATTTAAAAAGTATATAGTGTATTATGTATATGATAAATTGTAGAAGTAGTAGTAGAAGGATGTTCTGTAAGTGCAAAACACTTTATTTTCAAAGATCACCTGAAAATGTTCTGGCAGCAACACATTGTCCTCCATGTTCAGTGTTTGGAGATGAATGATGGCAGATAAAACTGTTGGTTGTTGATGGAGACATTTGATGATGACAGCAGCAGTGTGTCTCTCTTCTCTGAATGAATCCATCCAATTGATTGATCATTCGGCTTTTAGAGGCCTCAAGTTACGTTCAGACTCTTATCAAAGCTCTCAGCAGCTCTCGTCTGTCAGAAGAGACTCCCAACTCCATCACCGCTGCCCTCCTGCTCTGACAGGGATCTGTCTCAGACAGGTCGTGCTCTCTGGGCCTCTGGCGGCGGTGATTATTGCTGATGTTTTCCTGCCATCGATTAGCTTTCCCCAGAAATGTCAGTCAATGTCCGGAGGCATGGAATGAGAAGAGTCTGGAGAGAGAGATCAACACAAATGCTGTCAGGATCATCTGGTGTCTGTAACAGCACAGGAAATGAAAACTGTCTGTTTGACAGGATGGAGAGTCGGCAGGAGATGAAGATGGTTCAGTCAAAATGGAGTCTGAAATAAACTGACACATAACTGTGGCCGCAAACTCTGTCAACTTACATAAACATGGCTGAAGTTGAATCTAAATATCACTGCATCTCTGCACAGATAAGAAAATAGAAAATAGAAATACACATTAAAACACACACACACACACACACACACACACACAACACACACACACACACACACACAATGTAGGAACACTGGCAGGGAAAAATAAAGTAATCTATATTAATAAACTAATAATAATCTTGTGCAAACAATGAAACTCAGGGACACACAAAAAGAAATAATTCCAAATAAACAACCAACACACTGAGAAGAAACTTAAGGCAACTAAACAGTAAATAGAACCATATAAACTGATGGGGCAACGACTGGAGTAGAGAAATGTAGAGCTACGTAGAGACAAGACGGAGGCACCACTACCTCTGGACAGCGGGAGGATGAGAGCTGCAAAGCTGCAGCTCGATCACTATCAACAGCAGACCAGAGACCCAGAGAAACAAAGATTTACGATTAGCTGGAAGCCAAAAGGAACACAATAGTTTACAGAATAAAAGGAAGCTAGCCTAACTCAACAAGAGCGAAGCAGAGTGGTGCCACCCGGTTATTAGGATGCAGATGAATCACTGATTCCCTTTTTCCTGTCCACTGTGACAGCTGAGTGGACAGGAAAAAGAGAGAAACAACTAATCTGCTAGACACAGATGGATTTACGGCTTCAGTTAAAGATCCGTCCGACACCAAGATAAAGT